TGTGTGCATGAGTTTGTGTCAACACACACACACACACACACACACACACACACACACACACACACACACAGAGTGAGTGTCATTAGATCAGCCTCCTCTGGAATATAAGTACTAACACAAAAGAGTTTGACTCCAGAACTTAATTTGCCTATGGATTTTCCGCTAATGGCTCAAAATCCTTTAATGAGGAGTGCATACTGGGCTGCATCACACATATTTGTGCTAGGGGATAATTAGATTCATAAATAAGTAATTAAAGTAGTGATGGGCTATGAATTAATGTGTACCGTAAGCGTGCTGGAATGCAGCTGTCTTCTGAGAAGTGACAACCCAGGGGTGGGCCACTACTAGGATGTGATCCTCCTGGGCCTACTAAAAATACAAAAAGCCTCAAAAGGGATCTACAGAGGAGTGGGGAAGGGCTGAGTCTTGCAAGCATGAGGACCTGAATTTGATCCAGAACTCTCATAAGAAGCCAGACCCCTGTGAAGTTGGTTCTCTCCTTCCACCTTTACAGGGGTTTAGGGGCTAGAAGGTTCGTTTGAAAGTTACCCACTACACCAGTCCACATAGGCAAAACTGAAAGAACTTAGACATTTTGTGAATGGAAGTTTCTGTTCTGCCTCGTCCCATAGCCCATTTAGTCCCAAATAAACACACAGAGGTTTATGTGAATTATAAACTGTTTGGCCTACTGTTCAGGTTTCTTATTGGCTAGCTCTCTCAATCATTTATCCATAACTATTAATCTCCATGCAGTCTTGGCTTACCGAAGAATGCCCAGACATCCTACCTTCCCGGTAGCTACATGGCATCTCTAGTGACTCACTCTCTGTGTTCCTCTTCCCAGACTTCTCCTACATGTAGAAAACCTAACTAACATAAATATAAGTTTTGAATATTATAGGTGACTATCTATAATCTGTATTTAATTATACATTGCATTTCAAATGATCTGTATTAACACAATACCTAAACAAGAGGAGAAATATACATATCACAAAATTGACCTTAAATTTCTATCAATAAACCAAAATCCATACCAATGCAAAATATTCCTTTCTATACGTTATTCCATTTTTTAAAAGAAGGAAATTGACTGTGATCATTAACCATTTATAACCAGCCCCATTTAAATGAAAACAAACATTTACAAAACAATATTTGGGAATGTGGGCATAGTTCTCTCCAAACTGCTTCCTGTTGTTTGGTAGTACTGCATCCCAAGGGGACCCTGAGAAAACTCAGAAACCTGGCCAAATCCTGGCTGTAGTAGTCTGAGATTCTGTATCATGTCTGCTGTTTTGGATGTTGGATCACCTGAGCCACTGCTTCAGGGGGTCTTGCTTGATCAAACCATTATTAGTCTGGAAGGAATCCACAGCTTTTTGTCTTCTGTGGAAACGAAAGCAAAACCTCTTTTCTAAAGTAAGATGTCCTTAGACTTAAAATTTGAAGTCAAGGCATTTTCAAAATACATAGGTTGGATTAATCCAGCAGCATTTATAATCAAATCTCTGTTAGCAGTTGTTGCTCTTTCCTCAGCAATCAAATAATTTAAAGACAACACAGTAACATACAGTATCCAGACTCTGTGTATTTTCCACCTTTGCATGGCTTTTCTATTATTCTGTTTCTTTTATTTTTAAATGCTGATTTTTTTTGAGACAGGGTTTCTCTGTGTAATAGCTTTGATTGTCCTGGAATTCACTCGGCACACCAGGCTGACCTTGAACTCACAGAGATCCACCTGCCTCTGCTGCCTGAGTGCTGGGATTAGAGGCGTTCAACACACACCCAACTACTCTCTTTCTTTTTTAAGAAAGAGATTGACAAGAAACATATATTCACAGCATACAGAAGGACATCTGCCATCAAAAGTTGTGTTTAGATATTTATTTATCTGTGTATGTCTTTAACAACAATTGCTAAAGAAGAGGAGGACATGGATTTGAGAAGGGGGACTTGGGAAGGTAGGGGAAAGGAAAGAAAGGACATATGTTGGAATTATATTTTAATCAAATAAAAATAAGTTAAGTGATCTGCAGGTGGGGAGCCAGGCCTGGTGATTTCTATTTATAATCTCAGCCTTCAAGGCAGAGACAGGCAGATTCTGGGGGCTCACTGGCCAACCAGTCTAGCTTATGTGGTGAGTTCCAGGCTATAGGAAATTCTGTCTCAGAAATGTAAAACAAAACATCAAAAAACTGGAAGAAACCTAAGTAGCACACTTCAAGCTACTCTCTCTCTCTCTCTCTCTCTCTCTCTCTCTCTCTCTCTCTCTCTCTCTCTC